GGTCAGCAGGGCTGGGGGGATGAAACGAGGAGAGAGGGAGAGGGGGAATCGAGGCGGACCGGAGAAACAGAGAGCAGCGGGCATAAAGAGAGGGAGCAGCGCGGAGCGCGGGGGAGTCCGGGCGGTCACAACGCCTGCTGCGAGGTCACAGCGCCCCCAAATCCCCGCGACACCCATCCTCATCCACGTCAAACCAACTCCCTCACCCTCATACCCACCCCCCAAAAAACCCACCCCGCCACCCATCGAACCCCACGAGCAGCTGGACCCCGAGGGGAACGATGGTGACGAGGTCTACCGCCGCGCGGTGCACCGCTACCCCCCCACCACCGCGCTGACGTCACTGCCCTGCGGCCGCTGCCCCGTGGCGGACCAGTGCCGCGACGGCGGGCCAATCTCGCCGCAGACCTGCGAGTACTACGAGAAGTGGCTCGACTTCTGAGCGGCGTTTGACCAACGTTTGACCGGCCTTTCTCGCCTGCCCGCGGTGCTAGTCGTGCAGACGTGCGTGCGGCGGGGAGGGACGGGCGCGCACGTAGCTCGCGGGACGTTTGGTCTGCTGCTCGCGACTGCGCGGCCTGGCGCACGCCGGCTCTGCTGTCGCCGTTGGCGGCCCCCGTCTGCGGTGCGTGCGGGCTGCCACTGGAACGGGGAGGGAGGGGTAGTAAAGTGCACTGCGCGGTGGGGGGTCGGGCGCAGCGAGCCGGTCCTTCGGCTTTCATTGTTCGAGGTCGCTCCTCCGGACCCCGCCTGCCCGCAGCATACTTTTTGTCCCGGCCATAGCCGCGCCCTGCCACCCCTGCTCGTGGCCCCCGCGCGTCACGAGTCTCGGCCGGGCCAAGCCGCACTGCACGCCCGGGCACCCCTCCCTCCCCCCGGGGCGTGTCGCTCCGCCGGGCGGGCCGCTGCTGCTCGCTGGTTCGCGCTGTCCTGCAATGCGCTTTTTGCGACGCGACCCAGCCCGGGTGCTTCTGCAGCTGATTCAACCCCCGGCGCCGCGCCGCACAACGAGTCACGGCTCCATTGAAGCCGTCAGGGCTCCGCGGTTGCTTGCCACCCTCCCCGCCAAGGCACACACGCCGGCTCGCGGCTGTCGCCCTCCCCGCCTGCGCCTGGTCGGTTCGCTGGGCCCCTGCATGCGTGCAGGGCAGTCGCAGAAAAACGCACAGATGCCGCTGGCGCGCCTGGCAGGTGCAAACGGCCTGTTTTGGGCTGCACTTCCCGGCTTTGTGCAGGCCTGCACGGCCTCGACACTCGTTGCAGCGAAAATCCTCACCAGCGGTGACGGCCCCCACCTGTAATCAACGGCGGCAAGACGGCAGGCAGCAGTTTCTGGGTCCACATCCTCCTCTCCATATCAATATAGCCAGCCATGTCGGTCTGCCAAGGCGCTCCAAAGGGCGAGGTGTGTGGGGGTGGCAGGGCTGTGCGTACGCCAGCAAGCGCCGGGGCCGCGAGGCGGCCAGCACACCCACAAAGGTCGGCTGGTGCTCACCAGACAGCTGCGCCCTTGTATGCAGGCTCCCGTCCCTCTGCTGCTGTGCCGCGCGAGCGGCGCAGGTCGTTGTGTTGGGTGTGGCGTTGCTGGTTGCCACTGCCACCCGCTCTGTCACCAGCCGGTGCAGCAAGGAGCCATTGTGCTCGTGGCGCACGGCCGTTCCTCATGAAACTGCCACACTTGCACCAAACTCCATGCAGTCCAACACACGTGAAGCACTGCAGCCTGCTCTGATCGGCTGAATGCCGCCTGGCTGGGGCCCAACAGCAGGCAGCTTTTGCGTTTGTGCCCGTCAGTGAAATGAGCAGCATTGGAGGTGCTATGGGGACAGTGCTGGTCGCATGCAAGGGTGCTGGGTGTGTTTCGAGCTGCAGCACAGGTGTCCAGGCTGGCCCTGCTGCAGCCTGTGTCCCCAGCCGCAGCATTCAGTCATCCACAGGATCGCTAGCAGCCGCATCACACAAGTGTTTGAACACGCTTGGCTATCTTTGACCAGGGTTTGACCGCTGAATCCAACCCCACCCGGTCGACGTGGTGCACCCTGCGTTGTGCGGCGCCAGCCACCACCCTCAGGTCGGTGGCCCTCCTCGAGGCTGCACACACACTGATTGCCACGCCACTCAAGCGTGCAGGGATGCGCCGCACGCCTGCTGCCCCTCTGTTCTCGGGCAACGCAGAACCAGCCCATGCGTGTCATTTACACTGAGCCTACAATAAATGTGCTGCATGTATGATCGCCTACACACACACAACGTTTTTCGTCTCCAAAATCAACTCTGTGTGGATGTGGCGCGAGCTTGTGCCTGCAGGCCCGACCATTCACTCAAAATCGACTCTGGCAGCGCGAGCCGTGGATAGCGGCGGCCTGGAACAAGCGCAGCAACGGCAGCAGCGGCCTGCCAGCGGCGCCCCCCTATACAAGTCTACTGGGAGCGAGTGGGAATTCGTAGGAAGAGGACCTCATTCGTGGCCCCTATTTCCCGAGCTTCTTC